ATTTTTGCTTTATGCCATATAATTTGCTTTTTTCAAAAGTAACTGAGACAATTTGACATAAGGAGGCCTTAGTCACCAACAGATTTTTGGTTGAAAACAAAAGATGTCTTCCTACACTGTTGAAAAAAACGGAGGCAAAGCACAGTGAAGGATATTGAGGCCCCACTCTGCAGCCCATCAGTGTTCCTGAAGTCAGCAATGGCAGCAGCACAGGCTATTAAGTCATTTCGATATAAACTCTTAAGACAGAAAAAAGGTGAAAAATATAAACAGCTCAAAGGATGTGAATTCCTTCTATTCCTCTGACAATATAGAAGATTATGTTCCATAACAATAAATAGTTTCTTAAATAGATCTCTTCTGTTTTCAGTATGGGGTTTGGATTTTTGGAGGGCTTTTTTTAGTTTAGGGTTTTGTGGGTTTTTTTTTTTTTGCTCCTTCCTCTCAGAAACAAGTCCTAGAATAGATATCTCCAGAAAACAAACAAACAAACAAACAAAAAACCAACAAAAATCAAGGAATAGCTCCAGACATGAAATGAAGACTTAAAAGTGTCCATAGGGAGGAAAAAAATACCCCCCAAAAAAAACCAACAGAAAAGAAAAGAAAACCCCCAAAACACTGTGGTTTCTACAGAGATGAAATTTTCAATCCATTCCTCGTTCCAGCCAAACTTCCAAGGCACTGCAGATGTGCCTCTTCACGGGGCTTCCCTCAAAAATAAAGGAACCTTAGCCTGTGACTGGTTCCGTGCTCGTTCCTTCGTGCAGCCCATGAGGTGTCTGGCACTCGGACCTGCCCCGACTCTCCCGATCCATCGGAGGCTGCCCCGATCCCATTCCCCGGCAGTTTCCAAGGAAACCGGCGGAGATGCCGGCACGGGCTGACCGCGGGGGGAGATCACAGAACGGCTGCTGCGCTGCCACTTTTTCACTGCTTTGGGGGGTGTATTATAAAATGCTAAAAATCTAAATTAGTATTGACAGAACCTGTACCAAAAAAGCAAAGCAGAATGGAAGGGCGGTGATGAAGCACTTCTGGCTGCAGGGACTGGGAGCTGCGTGGGGAGCCCTCCCTGCCCTGGCCAGCCATGGGAAATGAGAGCTGCAGCTCATTAGCACAGCGAGGACACCTCCTCTGGTTCATCCCTGGAAACACTTTAGTCAATTTATATTTCTTTGTGGACTGCCTTTATCATGAGGCAGTATGACACACTGATTTTTACAATAGATTTATGCTAGAACTTTTAGCTGTCAGCCAACAAAAACCCCTCCAGACAAAAAAAGATCAATAGTACTTCAGAATAAAGGAGGAGTCATCAAATTACTCATTAGAAAAACTCTCCCTCCCCTCTCTTTTCTCATCCCAGCCTGTCATTCAAAGCAGAATCATCATCATCATCATCAATACGCACAGGAAAAAATGTTGGGATTTTTGTTTGGTTTTTTCCCCTTCATGCTGACACAAGCATTTCAGGTCCTAGGTTTTTTTAATTAAAATAGCTCAGAAAATCATAATCTTAGCAAACTGAATCTGAGAGCCAAACTGAGCTTCTGTTACTTAAAGGTTTAAAATTGGGCTGTAGGAGCACAGGGGTTCTGTGACAATAGCACTGGGCATCGCACATCCATTGAAAAAGGTCCCAATATATGTCTTTTATTAACAATAAAGCACTTATACTTGATAATGGGCTCTGGTACAGGAATGTTTTCCTCAGAGGCATCTTGTCACAGCTTCTCTAACTGTGAAGTTCTCCTGATCAGATTGTCAGAGGCATTTCTTAGTGCAAGGAGTGGACAGATATCACTTTCCCCAGAATCTACGATCACCAGGCTCGATTTCTCTTGTGAATTCATCAAAACCCAAATCTTTGATCTCCAGAAAAGAGGAATGTTTTCTGCATCAGTAAAAAGGTGCTTTGTCTACAAGGCTGCCCTCTCCCAAAAACACCCAACCAACCCCACACTCAAACCCAGCAAACCCCAAACCAGCAAACCCCAATCCAACATCCCTGGCAGGGTTTCTCTCTGTGCTCGGACTGTCTTGTTTTGAGGGCAGTTCTTCAGTGCATCTCCCCGCTCACCAAGACAAGGCCTCCTGAAGGCCTTTAATTGGCTCTTCTGAAGTGTGGAATGACACGAGCTGTCCATGGTGCTGCAGGACTGACTGCAGGCTCACAGACTGCTCTGAGGATTCAGAAATGTGTTACAGACTCAAATGATTTGAATCGTTTTAGCCAAACTGGTTAGGTTATTAAATGTAACAACTGTGCAATAATTGCTAAATATTTTTAAATGCAATAATACTTTTCAGTTATTGAAAAATGTAACGCTAGCACTCTCTAAGATAACCGAATATGTGAGCATTAGAGTAGATCAGAAGTTGGCAATCAAGTCTTAATTTTAATTACATGTACTTCCTATTAAATCTTTCTGTAAGATAAAATGGTTTCAGAACATAACCCTAATTCATTTATATTCTACAACCCTTGTGAAAAAAGAGGCACAGTGAAATCAACTTCCTAGACTATTTAATAAACAGCTTTGTAAATAAAGTGAAGGCCCAAGTTTGAAAGCAAGGTGCAGGCAATGAGACTGCAATAATCTTTGTTTGCACATGCAGACAGGAGAACTACATGCTTAGCCATCTGTCTGCAGAAATAGCAGCTTTTATTCTTTGACTCAGAAAATACAGTTTTGAAATTGTACCCTGAAACTTCATAGACTACAATAAAAAGTAAGATTTGTTTTTATAGTCCTCCTACCATATAGTGGTAAACAATAACAACATTTCTTGGAAATATAAGGATGCAATGCTTCGAGCCTGCCCATTTGCTTTCCATCTTCCCATCTATTCAGATTGCATGGGGCGGGAGAAAGAATGTGTTTATTAAGAATTTGTATGAGAACAGATTGACCCAAATGTCTGTTACCAAAATAGATTATATTAGCTAGAATGGAGCGTGGTGCTTCCATGCAATCAGCAGCAGCCTTATGAAAATGTCAACTCTTATATATACATTCTGATGCAGGGTAAGTCAAATTCTTTTTCAACTCTGTAAAATAAGTACATTAGAAACACTGAGCTTTGTCCTAAGAGCACAGAATAGAACTCTCCTAGAAATCCCGTCCTTGCAATCAGTTTCTTTCAATGCTGAGTCTTATTTATCACTCTTGTAGAGCACCAAAATAAACTGAGCAGTTCCAGACAGTCCTTTTGAGTCATGACTCACTCAGATTAGCAGACAGGCTCTGACAGACCAGGGCAGAGCTCCTCGTGTCTGGTCAGATCCCGCAGACGGGACAGTCCAGCAGCTCATTCTGAACCTTTAGGACAACGTACAGTTGCCCTGTAGATTGCAAAGGGTAGGACAAGTCTTTTGCCCTGCAAACCACTGCAGTGCTTCCATTGCATCTCCCATGTCAGAAGGAAACCCTGGGCACCACAGACCCCAGAACACTGCAGTGTGAAGATGTTAAACCTGCAGTGTGCTGCAACCTGCTAAACAAAGATGTGCAACTTGCTGTATTCCACCTGAATATTTGTCTTAACCATTTGCCATCTAGGTTTTTGTTTAAATGCATCCCTGTAAGGGCACATAGGAGAGAGAAAGGCCTATCTTAGTCTCAATAAGTTACAGCTATTTCTCTTATCCAGAGTCTTCTAATAATTCGCTAAACAAGAGCTGCAGGATCTGGATTAGATAAAAAGTTACTGCAGAGTTGAGTGTCATCTTATTAATAATGGTCTCCAGAATGTTTCACAGTGCCACAGAATCATTTGGTAAACCAGCAAATGGTCAATCAATTCATGTAAAAAAAATATAGCAGCGGAAGAAACCAAACAAATAAGAAGAGAATCTCTCCACTCCTAGTTTGCAATTGGTAAACCATTTACAACTTTTATGTGCAAGTGATCAGTGTATTATTACTTCTTCTAATAAAGCATTTTGCAAGTCATGACTCTATAATCAGCTTCTGGTTTGTATATTTGTATGCAGGAAAAAACCCTACTGGCTCACTTATGAACTAGTCAGTGCTGTTGCTTTGTGTTCACCCTTTACACCTTTCAGTTAATTTAGCTACATCACTGAAGTTACTTGTTAGTACTTTCTTTTTCTGAATAGATTATCCCAAAACCTACTGGGAAGAATCCAAGTACATATTGGGTATACTCGCCTGCTTGCAAATTTATGTGCTGTCTTTTCATTAATAATCTTGCAAGCAGGATTTCCTTGCTGAAATGCAAGTACCAACAAGCCATGGATAATGATCTGTGTTTTATATGAAATTATATCTTAAACACCCTTAAAGATTAATAATATAGAGACCTCTCTAGCCTGAAACTCAATATTAAAGTGTTCACGCTAAGGCTACGAATTTGTTGTTTATAGGAATTGATTCATTATAAGAACAGGTGCCTAAAAAATGAATCAGTAGCATTGGCCTGAGACCATCCCAGCACTCCCACTGATCTCATCCTCCAGTCCCATGTCCCTTCCTCAGTGAAGGTTTGTATTTATGATGAAGCCAGGCATACACTGCACACAGATTTAACATATTCCATGATGCATTTGGAACTCTGTTCCATGCATTCAGTTGAACAATATCAAGCAAAACTAATGGCAACATCCACTGGGTCTAGAAAAGAAAAGCACTGTCCATTGTCCCCCAGTGTGCTGGCTCGTCAGGGGAACAGACTGGACAGGAAGGGGTTTCCCATTGGGGTGGTTTTATGAGTAATCTGTTAAATAAACCCACTCAATTGTTTAGATACTTGTTTTAGAGTAGAAACATGGCAGTGGGGGCTTTACTCCTCCCTAGTCCATACTGCTGTGGAAGCTTAAAAAAGTAGAAAAGCTTAATATACATGTTATAAAAAAACCAACCAAACAAACCCAAACAAAAACACAAACAAAAAAGCACTAATTTATGTCTTCCACTCTGCAGGAGTTTGTTACTTAAAAAATACTGTTTCTATAAGGAAATAGCTATACTTACTTTGATTTATGACTTTTTAATTTTACAAAATATTAGAATTGGTCTTCAGCCAGGAACGTTTAATAGTTTAATTTCTGAAAGAGAGAAAAAGAAATGAGAAAAAGGAAAGCTGATGAAAGTACTGCGGTTGTGGTTACATTTCTCACAAAATTAATTATGCTAGTGAAAAGTAATATGCACAGATGTTTCTAACAGGTCACACTAACTAAATGTCACAAACAATTTTAATATCCCCATGAACAAGTGTCCAAGGTTGAAATTCCTACTAATTTGAGGACAAGCCTTAAAAATGTGGCTCTCTTTCAGTAGCAGAAAACAGAAGTCTGCCTATAGCTTTAACAGGATTTTCAGCTGCCTTTGGGCCAGATATTTAAAGTGCCTAAAGATGAAGAAGATACATATGGGATTTACAGAAGTGACTAAGTGAAATTCAGTGGGAAGTAGATACTGCTGTCTAAATTGCCTTTAAATAATTCTGTTAAACATCTGACTGTACTGTCAAAGCACCTAAATAGAGCCTTCTTTGGGAGGTGCAGCTCTTGTCTTCAGCACTGCTGGACAACGTGCCCAGTGGTTACAGATCTTTTTTTTTTCTGTTTGCCAACTTTGAGATGTTAAAAAGTAATGGGTTATTTGGAAATAGTATTTAAAGTGACTAAAAAGTCTTGCAACCCAGGAGCCATATTCCATTGCAGCCTCTCGAAATCAAACCCAGAATGTTCTCAAATTTTACTATAGAGCCTTCACTGTACAAAATTAATTTTTCATTCAGCTTCACTACTTTTAAAATAAAATGCCTTTTGCAATGATTTATTACATTCATTTCATCATCACTTTCTTGTGATCATGTTATACCAAATGATGTCCCCGGGGGAAAAAAAGAAAAAAGGAAGAGGTGACACTATCACAACACACATATCTGAGAGCAATTTACTTCTGGATTTCTTAATTCAGATTCAATTTAAAAACTAACAAGTTATTTTGTTATCATTGGACTTGGGTTTTTTTGAAAGAAGAGTATGTCTTAGGGCATCTTTCTCCTGGGCTCTGCCCTGACAACTGCGACTGGTTGGTGGGACATGTGCAAGGATGGCTTTACATCCCTCCCTCCCTCCCTGCTGCCAGGGCCACAGAACCACCACTGCCCTCTTTACTTCCCACTGCAAAGGCTCCTTCAGGCCATAAACTGAGACTGTAAATTGGAACAAAGTACAAGCATGTGCTCCTGTCAGACCGATTTGATGCAGCAGAACCTTGATTTTCCAGCAGTCCCTCCACCTTGTGCTGTCACTGACCTGGGAGCAATTCCACTGGGACGTTCTGTCTCCAGCCAGAGATCTTGTTTTAGAGCCCAAGAACTAAAGCTGGGACAAAACTGCCCAACAGCCTCTGCCTGGACATGGTCACTCAGTCACCACTTCAGGCTAAAACAGTGCCAAAAAAATCCCCACGTGTGTTACCCAGCAGGACGTACAAGAGGTGAATCCCTGAGCAGTGAGGGGTGATTGCCACACTTACTAATTCTGCATCAGCAATCCAGGTGATGGATACTGTAGTTCTAGAAATCTGGAACTTCAGTTTTCTTTTTCTTTACATTCCAAGTCCTAAATATAATGGCAGGAAAACTATGTGCACCAAACAGCTGTAGCTTAACCTTTTTGCATTAAGAAAGTAAGAAAACAGACCAGTAGGGGAAGCTTTACCTTATTTTTTCTAAGCAACAAATTTGGAGATTTTGTAATGATCAGAAGAATCGAATTGAAATCTTGAACAAAATCTTTATAAGATGATGGAGTTGAGAATTCTAATTTAATTATTTTAGGGGTAGTTTTTCCTTGAGTTATGATTTATGAAACTTATCCCATGGTGACAAATGTATAGATATTTTAATTGAGGTAAAAAGTCTTCAATGAGAAAAAAATACTTTTTTCTCTTAGGCCAATGTTCTTGGTAGATTTTAATGTGAATAAATGGTTAACTGGCATCTAAGAGATAAGTGATACTTAATTTTGCTTTCCACATACAAATAACTGTAAATGTTTAGAAAAATGTATTAATAATTTTTGAAACCTGAAGGCACTCAAAATATTGCTGTTAGTCCTCAGGATGTATGAAGACACAACAGCGTTCTGGGTGTAAAAGTTGTCATGGTTTGAGATAGTCCCAAAAAAGTCTCCTGCGTTCAGGACTGTGTATCTCGTACACAAAATAACCCAATTACTTTTAGTTCCTTTAATGTAGTAGCATTATGTGTGCAATTTGGAGGGCAAATTCATGAATTATCAAACAATAGATGTTGATTACATAGATAAATAAATTTATGTACAATATTTACTTAAATTCCCACAACTATGCTGTAACTCAGGGGCTTAAGTTCAAGAAAGCTGTTTTGTCTGGGAACAAATCAGAAGGTTTTAAGCTTGTTTGCACTAAAAGGAAATAGGAATTTTTGGAATTGACTTCTAAATGATATATTAAGAGTTAATCCATATTCTAAAAAGAGAAACACTTCAATGGCCTTCAAATCAGGCCATACCCTACTGAACTTTCTAACAACCTTATTTCCTGGAAAATTATTTTTATTACTGTGCTAATAAGTTTGCAAATGAGCTCTTCTACTACATTCTGTTAGAGATGAGAACACTGAGAAAAGGAGGAATTTTTTTAAATAGGTCTAAACAATTATTAATTTTCCAATTATTAATTTCATTGTGATTCAATATGGAAATGTTTCCTTTATTTTCAGGCTAAGTTGTTAGTCTGAATACACATGGTATTAAAAAAAAAAAAAGCTAAAGATAATCTACAAGTACCTATCTGGATTTCCACTTTTCTCGCTCCCTCCCCTTAAGAATTTGGGATTAGACTTTCTGTATGACAGTAAACAAAAAGGATTAACCTTATCACCTCGTGCATTACCTCTAAAAGGAAAGTAAGAATCAAATCACATATCAGATTCTACATAAATTCTTATTTATTAGGCAGAATTGTAGTCTCTTATTGGAATTTTGGTTTGCCAATTACCCTTTCTGAAATGCAAAAGCCAAAACCTCTAAAAGCTTTTTAAGACCCTTTTCCTTGCTTTCTCTTAAATAATCTCTATTAAAGGGTTCATTACTTGAGAAATGTTTCATAGTAGTTTATACATTTGCTTATAAAAACATTTAGTTTATAGGTTTTCTTATAAAACCCCCAGAAAAGCTGTAGATGGATTTACAAGAAGTTCCCTGTCCCCTCTATATGGAACAACTGAGCAATGCTGCCCCTGTGCCACCACTCCTGAAGCACTTTGCTTCACCAGCTTCAGCACTGACTTTCCAAAGATGTTGGGTCTAGACCCTTTTAGCTTTTCGTGTGGACATTTCAAAGCAGAAGACAATTTTGTTAATTCTGCTGCTTATATTTTTGGGTTCCAAAATAAAAGCAGTGCAAACACCCAAAGCTTGCTCACTTATCCCAAGGAATTCCCTCTTGGTTGCATAGCCATTGCTTCAGGAATGAGGAGAGGGAGATTTGTCAGGAGAGTCTGCCTATGTTGCAAAGGCTTCTGAATTCTAAGCCTCCTCACATAATGGAGGTCTTCTTTAAATAAAGAAAAGTTAATCTGAATTGTCAAGTCTCTTTCTGCCCCATTAATGCATTTTTAGAATTTAAAATCCCTGTTTCCCTCAAGAATAAGATTTCAGTGCCTAGCCTGTATTTTCTGACAAAACGGACACATTTATCACTTGCAAGAACTCGGAAGAGACCGTCCGTGAGCTCGAGGTCCTGAGCTGAGCACAGTCAGCGTGTCCCGTGTCCCGCCAGGGCAGCGCCGGGTGCTGGGGCAGCCCTGGGGACACTGTCCCTGCAGGGCAGTGCCACCTCCTTCCTCCCAGCAGATGGAGACAGGAAAACAAGGGAAAACAAGGCACAGGGAGGCGGCACAAGCCCTGCCCGGCTCCCAGAGCTGCGCTGTGTCCCGGGGATCCGCACCTACAGCCGCGGGCACAGCGCCCAGAGCGGCTGCAGCCCCGGGGCCTGCGAGAACCCCCTGTCCCTCGGGCCCAGAGCACATGTCACAGCCCTCAGAGCACATGTCACAGCCCTCAGAGCACATGCCAGCCGTGCTCTGGAACTGCCCCGGGAGGAGCACTGCCACCCGAACAGGGCTCGTTGCTCCTCGGCCATCGCTACAGCCCATTGCTCTCCCATTCCTCTGCAGTCCCACGGTCTCTGTTTCCCCTCGGTCACAAACAGTGTCCGACACTGACCGCAGGGATGTGCTTTGTGGCACTGCAGCCCCTCCTGCAGACTGGAGCACCCAGATGTGCCAGGGACAGCACGGGGGGGAGGAAGGTTGAGTTTCACACACAGAGTTTCTGTCAGGATGAACTTCTGATGCGGTACTTGAAGACTAAACCCAAATCACACCTTTCCTCCCATTTCTACGTGGGGTTTTGTGTTACTCATTGAGAATATTTGGATTTCTTTCTTTACTCTCTGGCAAACACTATTAATGCACTACTTTAAACATGAAGAAAACAGAACAAATACAAAACCGCAAGAACAGAAATCTGAGCTAGATAAATAAAAATAAAACTTCACTGGGAGATTGGTCAAACATTGGAACAGACTATCCAAAAAGGCTGTAAAAGGCCATCCTTGGAAACACTCAAAACTGAGGTAGATTTGAGCTTAGAGCAAATTGATTTGATGTTGAAGCTGAATCCAACCTTTGAGTAGGGGACTAAAACAGATTTCCACCAGAGGTTCCTTCTAACTAGAATTATTTTATGATTCTATGAAAGTATGTTGCTTCTTTTCTCATCTCAGATATACCAAAAGACAAGGTAAAAATATCATATTAGCAAAAGGAATAAGTAAAGCAATTATATATTTTTTAAAGTTTTTTAGGACATAATAGAAAATAATCAGAACAAAGAGGACCAAGGCCCGAAGATATTTTATTAGGGAAGAAATGTTAGTATTTTTGTCTGCTGATCAAAAGCTACTTGTCAGCCAGTGATAACTGGGATTATTTGATAGTCTTTGGCTGCTGGAACTGACAGACATTCAACAATACTCCCACGGAAAGAATTTTTGACTAAAATTTAGCTGGTAAATCTGCCACTGATTTAAAAAAAATCCATCCTCGAGGAAGGCTGGAAATTCCTGTGAGGTATTTGATTAATAATTTTCAAAGCTTCATTAGATGAACGTTACCCTGCCAGTGAAGGCTGTCATGCAGAAGCACCACAAGAGCCACTTGTATTAGGCACTGCAGAGACTAAGATTCTCAACAGACATCTGCAAGCTAAATAACCGAAATCAGTAAGGCAAGGACATCAGAGAAAAGAAGGACAAGGAAGGCAGTATCATAACTACCCCTGAAGAAAAGAAAAAGGGGTTTTTGCAATGGATTTTGATATCTGAGTTTGTGAAAGACAACAAAATCCAGAACCACAGACATTCTCTGCAGCTTCCAAGAGAGTTTTCCTGCTCTGTGGTGAATGGGAGCCCAAATAATAACACATGGCAAGTGGCCACTCTGTTCAGAGCTGCTGTTGGAAGGACTGAAGCCTTAGATCAGGTTTAGATCCTGCCCCTCTAGTCAGGGGACAGTGGGCCTGCTGAGCACCTGGCTCAAAAAAGCTTCCAAAGCCTCCAGATGTTCCTCATGGGAAGAAGCTTGGGGTTCTCTGCAACTGAGACAGAACTTAAAAATTCTGTCAAAGTATTTACTTTAATAAAAAGATAGGAAAAAGAAGGTTTTTTATAAGCAGAATTTTTCCATCTGGCTACTGCTGTAATTTGTCCTTCCTAACAAGTGTGGACTTTTATAGAAAGTTGTACACAAAACCAAATTTTAGTAAGACCTGGGCCTTTAAGAGACTCTCATTTTCTTGTCAGCTGTCATTTTCTCATGAGGCAAGATTCATATATGCTGGTTCTTTCTCATGAATCAATATTTTTGCATTTATGTGAACTTAAACATATGTGTTTGTAGGTTCATATTTAATAATATTAAAATTAGAATAGTACATGCACCCAAGGACGCCACTGATAATTTCAGATTTTGGCATAGCTAAGCTAAACCAGAAGGCTTCCAAGATGTAAAAGATGAGTGTGCAGAGCAACACTACATTTACTGGCATATAAAGGTGGATGGAACTCACTGGACACAACAAAAGGTGGCAAAAGTCAACAGCATCAGGTCATCTAAAATTACTGCTGCAGCATTTCTCAAACACTACTGGTAAAGCAAATGCTACCTGGGAACAAGTTTAGAGTTTGGTGACAGACAATTCTATTCACATAAACTTTGGGTGAAAATTACTCAAAAGATAAGCACAGTACTAATATAATGTCCAGGCAGTGGAATTGCAGTCTCTGATGAAAACTTCCTGAGCAGAAGTTTCCAGCCCAGCTCCCACACCTGTCCCAGAGCAAACAGTGGCACTGCCAGGTCAGAAATGATGCACAGCAGATCCAACAGTGACCATCGTGGATCCCAAGGCATCTCAAAGGGAACCAGGATCCTTCCCCATGGACTCAAGCACTTTAGGAGGCTCAATTTATGGGAGAGACTTAAGGCCACTACGACCCAACACACTGATTAAACTGGAACAGCATCTGTATCTTATTATCTACAACTGCAATGTTTGCATGTGTGAGATTCAATTAGAAATACCTGTACTGTCAGGAAGAAAGGGCTGACATGTATAAATGAAAATAATGTGCTTACAAAAGAATATAAGCATTAAGCATTTTCAAATGCTATGAATGCTTTTGTGAGAAATGGAGAAAAGGTAGCTATACAAATTGGAGGAAACAAATTAAAAGGATACATTAGAGCAAAGGGAAAAAAAAATCAGCATATTCACAGAAGCCTGCATGCAAAAAGGAGGACACTGATCTAGAAATAATTATACTGGGAAATAGGATAAAGAGGATAAAAATAGCTGCCATTAAACTGTTATTTTTCTTTCAGTTGTCCTATAACATAATGGTTTTTGTCCATTGCCTAAACTATTTTGCCTCTTATATTTTACATGTATTGGCATATATATGGAAAGATGGCACAGCTGATTATGATTATATGTTTACATAGATCCATATAAATATATTACCTACTACATACAAGAACTAATAAACATAAGAAATAGTGAAGGAAATAGAAGCTGTTTCAGTGAACCAATTATATACTTTCAGATGGCTTTAATTTGATGGGTTATTTCACTGTTATCAAGTTTGAATGAGGCTATGGAAAGTAAAATTACCAATGGTGAAGCAGGAGGAGATGAATGTGCTGGGAAGAGACAGGCACCATCCCATGAAACCATAGGTTTGATAGCAGGCATTCAGATAAACCTGCTAAACTGTGGCTTTGCTTGATGGGAAAATACACTCCCATGCTCCTGCTACAACCCTGCCAGGGCCAGGTAACAGTGCCCAGCCTGTGCCCAGGAGCACAGCTGGGTTTTCTGGGGGTTGGTATCAGACACACCCATTGTATTGGTGTTGCTGTCAGAGGCACAGTGCAAGTGCTGCCTTGGACTCTGCAGGTCCTGAGTCCCCCCAGCTCTCCCAGGCCCTGGGTGAGCTCTGGGGCTTCCTGCACACAGGACTCACTGCCACCCTTTGTGCTGAGCTCTGGGGCTTCCTGCACACAGGACTCACTGCCACCCTCTGTGCTGCTCAGAGAACCAAGGACTCGGGGTTACAGCTTTCCTTCCACAAGCCTGTACATAAGAACCCATGTTCTGGATCAGATTTCATAATCCTGCTCTGTGTTTCTTTATTTGCAAGCTTTCAAATACATATGTCCATTTTTGTGCCTGAGATGGCAAGCTCCTGTTTATAGCAAGGCGTTTAAGAACAGCCTTTACAAATGTAAAAACAGCAAAGTCACTGAAAGTTTTATGTTCTCTGAGAGGCTCAACAACTTTTACTAGAAAAGAAATGCAGCACCTTGGATGTAAATATACAGTGATTTATTTGCAACATAAGAAAGGGATTTTTTTGCAGCAGGAGAAATTAATAGTTTAGTCCATATATTTGATAGTCTGAAATATTTGCAAACAGGTAAGAAAAAATTTGAGTATAAAGTACCTCAGAAGGAGATTTACAAAGACAGGCTACGTTTTCCAAGATGTTTGGAAAGTTAATCTTTTACAGCACCGTGCCTTTGGTAGTGTTCCAAGTGATGTAAAATAACAAGCATAGTTCAATATTATTATGACTAATATGCAGGTTAGGTGAATATGAAGGTTGAGAGAGATAAAAAGCTGCTAACTCCACAGGTAAAATCTGTGATAAATGTAATTTGTATTGCTTTCAGTATGTCAGAAAAGTTGAGACTAAAACATTTTTCTAAATCTTTTTACAAATACAGAGCACTAAACGTGCATCTCGCTGGTTTCTATAATGCAAACATCTAATCTTTCCTATTAACAGCAAGCCACTGTTGAGAATGAACCTAATTAAGGAACACTTAACTGGCTTATCTCTAAGCAGAGGGAAAGATTCAGGTGTCAGAAGGGGTGTTTTATGCAAGTGTGCCAAATACTCTCCAACATGGGAGGTTAAAGAAATTTCAGTATCGTGAAATGAATTACCAAATAATCCACAAATAATACTTGGAGAAATCTTATTCATTTACTCCTTTTTTTTCCCCTGAGATGGCAAAGAAGCAGGGGAAACACTGATGGTTATAATTACATGAAAATTATTTGCCACAATGAAAGGGACAATCAAAAATTTTCATTTCAAATATTTATCTTAACAGACTTTGTATAAATGATGCTCAACAGTGTTCAGTATTTAAAAGATGGTTTAACTTGTGCCTGCCAAGCACTTCCACTAGGCCCCTGCTCACTGTTCAAGTACCAGCTAATAGCACATTCCTCAATGTATCAAAATACAAGCACAACCTTGGAACTCCTGCATTTAAATTATGGATTTCTATTACACAACCATTTCTGAGAGAATATATAAAACAGAGACAAATATAGATGAATTAATTTTACTAAAGTGCTTAGGTGAGTATCTGGAGGGAAGTGACATAAATCCAACCTCTGATCACAGTCAAGGAGTGGGAGCTAGAGGGGATAACAGTGGTTATCAATGTATTCCACAGTTACTCCAGAGTGAAATAGTAACATGTTTAGTAGAATAAATCATATATTTGAGGCATTCAGGACCTAACACGGATTAATCTTATTCAGAGCTACTGCAATAAATTAACACTTAGTTTGTTAGGTAACATACAACCCAAAACCCAGGGAACCATAGGATTCCAAGAGAAAAATATGGATTCTCTGGTCACGTAAGAAATCATTCAGGTAATAAAGTGGTTTAAGTGACTCTGAGTAAGAGGCAAACAAGCTACTCCCACTTTTGTTGTATTTCAGCCTTGTGTAAAAGTACACAAACAAAACCCACTGAATATTAAATAAGTTCTTTTTTTTCACCTTCCCTCAGCTCTAAAATGAGTTGAAGGTTTTTAATTTTACTTTTGGAAGAAAAATCAAGTAGAGAAATATCCATATGTGAGAAGTAAGTTTATAAGAAAATTATCTTTATTCCAAAATTATGTGAAAACAATTAAATTTAACCTTAAGTGTCTACAATAAAACAAACCTCATTAGGTAATAGTTGGTAAAGTCTCATTAAACACACACATTAAAGTGGGTTTGTTCCTTTAGGCTGATTTCTAAATGTGGACTCCTAAAGACATTTGCTCAAGGAAAGACTATTAACCAGCATATTACAATCTCTTAAATAATTTGTCTAATTTATGTATCTTGTGCAGTCTTGCATATTTTTATCCAGGCAGCTTTATCTTTCTATCACAGACACAGATACTGGATGTGTCTGTGCCCTGTCTGTACATCCTTGCTGTCTCCCACCCACATGACTGAATAGAACCCACTGAGCCACCACCACCCAACTGACAGAGAGCCAGCAGGGACCTGCAGGGCTTTGTCACTGGGCATTTGGACTCAGCATTCTCTCTAGGCAATGTAGAAAAGGACTGACCTCCAGAAAAAGCAGAACTCTTGAGACTTAAGAATCTGTGTTTGCTGATTCTTCAAATCTGAAGAAGGATGCCAGGCTAGAAACCATCTCTCTCTCATCCAGCAGTTCCTGTTCACTGAAAAGAAAGAATCACCCCCATTACTGCAATTATATAATCCCAGGCATTCTCACTGTTATCATTAGTTAAGAGCTCCACACCCGTTCAGGTGCAGTGAGTCTGCAGTTGCCAGGACCTCCTACCCCAGGTGCTCCTGCTGAAGGAGGGTTTCCTTCTCATTTGGAGCTTGTGCCTTCCACCTGTGCTAGAAACACATCCAAACAATCACAGGACCAGCGTGTCCTGGGCTGACAGTCACACATGGAGAACTTGCTTCTGCTGGGTTAGGACTTGGACACTTGCCAGTGCAGTCAAGATAGCAAAGTTTATGTAAGATTCAGAAAAACAGAGAATATGCAGTAGAACCTGCTACTCCCCTACTGTAACTGTCTGTCCTGAGATAAATATTATTCCTGATAAATTAACATCTTTAGTTGTGAATGGCTCTGTAAAGATTACTTAAATTGAAATAATAGTGGATTAGATTTTTGTTTTCTGTATCTTAACTCCTGAGATATGAGAGAACATCCTCTTTTAAAACAGGTCTGTCTCTGAAACATCATAAGAAAATTGGGAACCTGACTACATAGGTGAGATCATCTGGAGAGCCAGCAAGGTTTCAAAAAGTATGGCATTCCTTCTCTTATTCACTTACAGAATGACTTGCTGTTGGTGAGGGTGCTTATAAAAAGGTGACAAACATGTAGAACGACATGATGACACAGCCTGTTAAATAGCATTGCTGTCACTCCCTGATTCCTTCCCTCTGCAGTTCAGAAGAGGAAAACTGTTGCTTCCCTCTGTCAGTCACTATTGAAAGGTGGCTGGAATGGCAGGGGGCAAAAATGCCAGCAAAATAAAAGGTCTTTGCAGTGCTGGGGCAAGGGGCAGTTACACAGCTTACTCCTCTGTGTTTCCTACCAGCTTTGGTTGGTGCTGTTTCCCCCTGCACAGCCAGGAAGGAGCCTTTTGGCTTCAGTTTGGTTTAGGTTATTTGTAGATGCCTCAACAAGCATCTAGAGAGAGCCCTCAGCTTTCACAGAAAGATTCACAGATGATTTCCCAGAAAGCTTTAATCCTTATGACACACATAGAAAGCACTGAGACAAACAACAAACCACACAATACTTGTATCGATCCGTACACGTGAGCTCAGCCAGTTCCATCTGTACTTTGAAATGGTATTTATATGCCTGCAGGTAGGTAGGAACAAGTACTAACAACTGAACAGCAGTCTGTCCCATATCCTTCAAAAATGTTTCATATAGAATGTTTCATTTTCTGCCCAGTAGCTCTGCCAAAATCAAGCTTCTGTCCATTACTGATGTGTTTATGCTAGACTGCACACTGAATAATGTCTAAGAATCAACCTGAGATTTCAAATGTTATGGTTTCTGTCCGTTCGGACCTTTGATTTTCTTGGACATAAAAGCAAACTTGGGCTCAATCTCCTGTGCATACAGGCTTAAATGTTTAGGCCTTTAATATGAAAAATCAGAATGTATGTTTGTACATGTGTTTGCAGGTGCATAACTCCACCTTGTACGTATCCATTAGAAAACACTCCTTCCCTGTGCCCAGCTCTGTTCCGGAACGAAGGAGCAGCACAAAAGCATCTTTGCAGAGTGTGTTCCCTCAGTCTGAGCTGCTCTGTGCCAGCTGCCTGTGCTGCCAGGTACCAACAGGACAATCTGGGAGCAGATGACTCATCCCCACTCGGAATTCTCAGTGGCAGGGGGGAGCAGCATAGGCAGCAATATGTGCATCCAGTCCCCCTGAAGATTTTGGAAGGCAGAGGAAATACACTGAAAGGGTAAACAGGGTAACCACTGTCCTTTGACAGAAAGATGAGCATGAAGGAATAGCAATCTGGCATGCATTTCTTTTAGACAGAATTGTACAATGATAAAACTATTTTACTTATATCTTTGCCATATATCACCTACAAAATGAATTAATTCATTGGGAAATAAAGCAATTTAAAATAAAAAGCAAACAAAACCTTGAAATCCAATTTTTTCCCCCAAATTAAAGGCAGTTTTAAAAGTAAGTTTCTTTATGATCCTTCAATTAATTTAGTAATCACATCCACATCATAAGAGCTTATTTCTTCTTTTCTAGTAGGTAGATGCTGAAGAAAAAGAAATGGGGGACACATTCTCTGTCAGGGGCTGAACAGATAGTAGGTATCAGATTAACTTCGAGTATTAGAGACTCAATTGCAGTCCTGTAGCCTATGTACCAAATTTGCCATATTTCAACTGTAGCAAGTTGTCACAGAAACTTCAGACTATTTTAATTTCAAAATTCAAGAAGAAAACAAACACATTTTTCAAGAGATTTTCAGCAGTTGCAAAACATCTAATTTTCAGCAATGGTATTCCTAAGTGAATGAGAAAGATCATCTTTCATCCCAGTGCTAATGACATCCTACAAGGTGATGACATTAACAGCTGGAAAGTGTAATCTTGCCACCACACTTCTCAATTTGCCATTCACTTATTCCAAGCCTGTTGTCCAGTTCATGCCGCTTTCTCAGCAAATTTCAAACTGTTTCTTTGCTTAAATGCCCAAAGCATATGTTGCTGACAAGCCTTTTATAAGGTAAACATGTTCATTATTCTCATGGGAGCTTTGTCTCCCAAGAAACTTCTCTTCTTGTCTTGTGACCACTATCCCTTTTTAAAGTTTGCTCAGATCACTTATAAAATTATGTTTTCCAGCTAATTTTCTCAGCTGTGTTTATTTTCAAACTGTCTTGGTAACCACAGACTCATTAGAATTTGATGGTTTGATCTTGATAGAGAAATTTGTGTATTTGATAGTGTGAACATTTCACTTCATAAATAGAAAACAAATACAAGAGTACACAACTCCTTGGTGCAAAGAATTTCAAAACTGCTGAGAAAGGGAGTATCTCTGTTTCACTCTTGAAGGTTTCAAACCCACAGAAAGAAAACATTTACTGAAATTTCAAGATAAATTAGATTTAACAATCTGTCCAAAGCCTATTTCAGCTCATGAAACCATCTAGCTCTGTGACAGACAGCGAAGCCCCTTCTTTACCATGCAAAGGCTACTTTGAGCATTTTGGAAGGCAGGCTCCAATTATTTGAATGGCTTAGAGATTTATTTTTTTTACCTGTCTCTGACTCTTCCTGCAAATTCTTTAAAAAGAATTTGATCATGTCATTTTTCTGCAGGGAAATCCCAGGCTGAAATCATGGGACTTGTTCAAAGCCTGCAGTCCTGCCCAGGTTTCCTGCTCTGCCATCACAGGTCTGTGCTGCTGTGCCAGGATTGCTGGGCTGGACTCAGGTGAGATCATAAGGGACAGCCAAGGGGGTGCAGAGACCATCCCAGAACAGCTGCTGCTGTTCACATCCAACAGGCTCCAAAAAGCAAATGTATTCATCTCCCCCAATTTACAAAGGAGGGAGAGAGGCAAATTCTATTTCTCTGCCTCATCCCAGTCTCTTAGTTGAATAAGACAGATTGTCTTGTTCATCTTTTTACACAACAGGAGTCTAACTTGGAACAGGGTGCTGTTGGACAAAAGGCAGTTGTCAGTTATATGATCAACGACAGAAAATGTGACTTCTCTAATTCACAACAAAGAGAAGTGAAGTAAAAGAAATGACTGGGTGGCTCCCTGTAGCACTGGCCTTTTAATACTCAGGAGATGCTTACTAAAAGAAGCTGCTAAAATAAACCTTTTAAAAGAAGACAAATTGGATGTGTGCTATTCAGCTGGGGGATGCTGATGGGACACAGAATATGCTTAATATTATAAACTTAGCTCCTCTTGCACATTTTATGAAGGAAATTCAAATAGTCTTCCTAATATTTTGCCAAGACTTCTTTTTCCTTTCATTCAAAAAGGAAAAGGACATTATTCCAGGAGGGCATATAAAGTAAGACACAGAACTCAATAATTAGTGATCCAGTGGGAAAAAAATCCCTAAACTTTGAAATGCATTTACATATTTAACAATAATGGAAGCATATTTACAAATGGGTCTTACTGGTGTTTACACAGTAAGTACAGTTTTAATATTCTGAGAAGAGTCATGCACAGAAAAGACTCAAACATGTCAGTAAGATCAAACATATTTGAAAATCGGGGTAAAGTTTCAAACTGGTAGATTTTAATCAGTATCAGAGCAGCAACATAACCCTCAGAAGGTTCTGATTTGTTGAATTCCTTTTTCTTCTTTTCCCCGTTCCACCTAGTAGTTCATACAAGCCTTTGATTTTTCACAGATGCAGTAGTATTGTCTGTGAATAAATGAATGCAGATAAATGGTTCTGAGAAGCAGCAAAAAGCCTGAGCTACACTAGCCCCTGATGGATTCACAGAGACCTGTGGTGCATTCACACAGCATTTCCAGGGCTTCTCAGGAATTCAGGTTCTCAACGTCCAAAGGCAAAGCCGGAGCTCTGGCGTGTGCAGCCAGCCATAAGTGGATTATATGACACTACTGCCCATGACAACAGGGAAAGGGACTCAATCACAGAGGGTATCTTGTACTTTTAATTACATTCTTGTATTCTCTTGCTTTTGGAGCATCACAGTCTCTCTTAAACACAAAACTTGAGCACCAAACCCTAGTGTTGCTCTTAATCTAGTCTTACTGCTGAATAAATTCATGGTTCTCTCAGTTTCATGCAAATCCCTGCATTCCATTTCCTGAAAATTAAATATATTTGCTTAGAAGCCGCTAATGTAAATGCGGTTTATGCAACAAAATTTTATGAAAACAGTTAATTTTTTTGGTCTGTTTATTTGTTCATCTGTATTACCATGAGGAAAGAAAACTGACCCAATTTGTTTAGAGTGTATCTAGATGACCAAGGTGCTACGTCAGTCACTGGCTCTGTGAGAAGTAATACGGCCCCAAAAAAAGCTGGAGCTGACTGAACTTTTTTTCCTTTAGGGCTGACTATGTTAACACACTTACTGAAGGAGGGGACAGTAATGATCCAGTCACTACTTATCAGGACAAAATTAGTAATGATATATAATCCCAGTGGTTTAAAAGTAAGGAGCTCCAGTTCCAACAAAAGTCCTAGTAATGCCTTGGTTTAAAGTCTGAGTGAAATCTGCGTCTATAACCCTTCAAAACAGCTTAGTATTAAAAAAAAAATCTAAAAACAATCCAGAAACCTGAACCAGGACCAACTTTTACTGTTCAATCTTCAAAGATTAATGTTTAGATACTCAAGACCTCTGTACAGTTCTGAAGAACTGATGAAGAGGAAAAGTGTTGAGAAAGGTTAAAAACCCCAGTATATTGTAGGCCCTCCCCCCCCCAAGTTTTAATGATGCAGAAGCTGCATAATAATCTCCCTGTGAACCATAAACATAATAAAAGCTGAGGCCATTTCTAACATAATCTCTATCAGCAAGATGCCAGCGCTTTTCCAGATTTCCTAACGGGTCCCTGCTAATTCCATGCCAAAACTAGCAGTGGATTTCTTCCTTTTAATCTCCCCTAATGCCTTATTCGATTATTGTCACTGCTCTCCGACCGCGCACCGTCCCTCCAAACCCTAATTCCCGCCCCGGAGCAGTGAGCGGAGCCCGCCCGGCGGGACGCGCGCGGACAGCCCAGCCCGCACACAGCCGGGCCGGGCCCGGGGCTGAGCCACAGCCCGCCCGCTCCCGCAGGGACCATGAGCTCCAGCTGACGGGTCTGGGGCACCGGGGCGGCCCCGCACAGCCCTGCGGGATGGCATGGCACGGCATGGCTCCGCTCATCGCCTGGGCTTGTGTCGCCGTCAGGTGAGTGACACCGGCCCCGACGGCTCCCTCCGGCCGCGGGGAGCGGGACGGGCCGAGCCCCCTGCGCTGCCCCGGGGCCCAAAGCCGGAGGGTGATGCGGGACTCACCTCTCCCCGCAGCCTGGGGAAGGCGCTGGGGGACCAGGGCGACGGGGCGGACCTGTACTCGGAAAACATCACCCGGATCCTCGACAAGTTGTTGGACGGCTACGACAACAGGCTCCGGCCGGGATTCGGAGGTAGCGGGCGCTGCCGTGCCCTGGGGGCGGCTGCGGGGAAGGGCGGGCGGGAGCTCTGGGGCCCTCAGGAGGGGTCGGGGGGGGGGGGGCGCTGGAACCCACAGAGCGGGCGGCGAAGGGCCCGTGCCCGGCCCCGGCTCTTCAGAGCGGGGCGGCTCCGGTGCTGCCCTCGCACCAAGGGGGCCCCGCCGGCCCCGGACCCGTCGCCCCCAGCCCTGCTCCGTGTCCGGGCCCCGCTCCGTGTCCCGGCCCTGCTCCGTGTCCCGGCCCTTCTCTGTGTCCCTGCCCCGCTCCGTGTCCCAGCCCTGCTCTGTGTCTCACAGGCGCCGTGACCGAAGTGAAAACGGACATCTACGTGACGAGCTTCGGGCCCGTGTCCGACGTGGAGATGGTAAGGGCCCCCTCGCCGCCCCTGCTCTCTTTTCTCGGGATTCATTAGGGTGGCATCTGAGTTGACCGTCATTAAAGCAGATTACGAGGCTAAATCTCTTTGACAATCCCTAGGGCCCAGCAGAGCAGTTTGGCTGGAGCCGCATCCAGCTATTTCCCGGCAGCGACAGCCTGGGCTGGGCACGGGGGGCACAGCCTCGGGTGAGGGCACGGGCCAGGGGTTAAAGACGCCTCGTTAACCCCGCTAAGATGATTGTGAGCACCTGTGGCCCGGTACAGTTTTGCAGGAATGCTGCCTGGAAGGAGACGACCTTACGAGCAGCTGCAGGGGAGTGGTGCCACTTGGGAGACAGCTGCCTCTTGCCATGCTGGGTGCCCCCAAATTCAGGGAGCTGCAGACTTGGGTGAACTCCGTCATTCCAGCAGCAGCCGAGGAAAGTGTCCTGGGAGTGAGGATGTCATTGCTGTTCTCATTCTGGACTTGGGTTGCTGTTTTGCCCTTGTATACCCCCTCCAACAGCTGCTCGCCTAAGCCTGCAGTCCGGTTTGCAGGCAGGAGCTGTGGGCTCCGAGTACAACCAAAAGTTTTCCCGCAGCTCTTCATCGGTCAATCCAAGAGAAGGCACAACCTTGCATTCTCACAAAACTTGACCCCAGCAAAGGTTTAGCTCCATTTCCTAAGCAACTTCTGCAGGAAGCTCCTTTCTGAAGGCTTGTGAAAATATTACTAGGAATTCTTGAAAAAAAATAACAGACTAATATTAACTTGACACCATAATCCTACTGTGAAGCGATTCGGTCAGATCAGTCTTTTCTTTGTGAATATCCAAAGGAAGCTGCAGAAGATTGACTGAGCAAGTCTTTTTGTTTCTGTCAATTAAACGTTGATAGTTTGGTTTTGCACTTTGAAAGGACACTAAATTAGACATTTGTATTTCCTTAGACCTCAGTCACTTTAAATTAAATCATTATCTCTGAGAGGACAATGAGGTCTTTTTCCTTACTCATATCGAATTACCTGCTCACTGATTCACTTCTACCTATTCTTCAAATAATAAGAAAATAGGATATGTTTTCATGGACGATTTTTTTTGGTAACTACTTAATGGTAATAGGATTGGGTGTTTAAGCAGTAAATGAAGTGCCATTGGCATGTGTGTTAGGTTGTGTTATGGAGTTCCTGTTCATACAGGCACTCAGGACTGCTGACCCCCACACAGGAGTCAACCACCTCTTTATTCTCCACAGGAATACACAATGGATGTCTTCTTTCGGCAGACATGGACTGATGAGAGGTTGAAGTTTAGTGGGCCAACTGAAATTTTGAGATTGAACAATTTAATGGTCAGTAAAATTTGGACACCAGACACATTTTTTAGAAATGGAAAAAAATCAATTGCTCATAATATGACAACTCCTAACAAACTTTTTAGAATTATGCAGAATGGAACTATTCTTTACACAATGAGGTGAGAGCCTATTTTTCTGATTTTGGTTGACCTTTATGTTTGATTCTATCAGCAGTTCCTGCATACCATTTTTTTCATTGTCACCTACTCTAATGTGTTCCAGACTAACCATTAATGCTGATTGTCCCATGCGGTTGGTGAACTTCCCTATGGATGGACATGCTTGTCCACTGAAGTTTGGGAGCTGTAAGTTTGTCTGCATCTCTCAGTTCATTATAGTAACACATTGGTCTACATGTATGTGAGAAGATCAGAAGTAAGATCCTAAGTCATTACTTAATGACGTAGCTGAAATTTTTTATTATATTTTTGTACTGGAATTCTACTTTTTCCTCTGAGAATCAGACCATTCATAAGGACATGGGCTTATTCACCGAAGGGTGACTGTTGAAACATATTTTATTGTTGATTATTTTATAAATCTAGTAGTCAAAGTTGGTCCCTCAAGAAGGAACTATATTACTTACAGTTTTGAAAATACGTAGTAGATCTGTGTTAATCAATTCTGAAAATATTTAGTTGAGGTGTGGTACTCAGTGTATGTGTTTTACAGCAAATTAAGAAACCAAAGCTAGTGCATATCAGGTCCCACCTCAGCCATTCTCTTATTGTTGAGGGGTTTTCATTTTGTCATTAATAATGGTAGGAGCAGCATCCATGTTTTTTACAGTCATTTGGGCCACAAAAGGGATTATTCTACTTATTTTTTCAATTGCTTAGAAAATACATAATTAGTAATGGTAATTTTTCCCTCTGTAACTCAGATGCTTATCCAAAAAGTGAAATAATTTATACTTGGAAAAAAGGACCCCTGCATTCTGTAGAAGTACCACAGGAGTCTTCCAGTCTTCTCCAGTATGACCTCATAGGACAAACTGTATCTAGTGAAACGATTAAATCTAACACAGGTAAGATGGAGCCATGTGGGAACTACTGACATTATAAAACACATCTTGAAAATAAATTACAGGGGTTTTCTCATATTGAACCAAATTAGTTTAACTATCTTCTGTTATTCTAAAAACTAAAGTCTTTGGATAGACTAACCATTGTCTCTTAAAAGATAGCTTTTCAATACGGCCTCTTTAAACATAGAACTTTTCATGAGATTTGGAAGAATTCCACCTGCCTCCCTGCCCCAGTGAAAAAAAAAAAGAATATTATTCTCCTTTGTTTCCATAAGGTCACTTTACCTTTTTTTAAGCAGCTTATTTTTATTATCCACTAGGAGGCCTGTAAGTGATTTCCTCAGAACATATTACGTTGGGTTTAAGCCAATAATGTTTACTCATATGTTGCTAAAATAATGCTGACATATTTGTCTCTTAACAGGTGAATATGTAATCATGACAGTTTATTTCCACTTGCAAAGGAAGATGGGCTACTTCATGATACAGATTTACACTCCATGCATTATGACAGTCATTCTTTCTCAGGTGTCTTTCTGGATTAACAAGGAGTCTGTTCCAGCCAGAACAGTTTTTGGTATGCTGCACTGAGGTCTTTGAACAGCTCAGCATCACACGTATCATTCATTCATTCCTTTCATTGCTTGTTTGTTTTAGGTGAATATTCCCTTCAGCTGCTCTATTTCCATCTTCAAAGGAAAATAGGCTACTATCTCATTCAGACATACATTCCATGCATCATGACTGTAGTCCTGTCTCAAGTTGTGTTTTGGATCAACAAAGAATCTGTTCCAGCAAGAACCGTGGCTGGTATTTGTGTTTTGTTCCTTTATCATTCATTTCATTCACTGTATTGAATCCTTTGTGTCAGATACTGTAATCCAGTGAGGATTGGGAAACGCAGCTGGGAGGTTTCAGTGAACAAAAGTAAATACTAAAATTAAACTAAATAATATTCAATCTGTCCATGAGGGTCAGAATTCTTTAGTCAAAATGTTTGATCAGCCAGACTTGTTTGTGATACTTTTCAATATATTTTTTTATGCAGGAAGGGACAATTTCAGAGAAACGTCAACCTCTCCATTTTTTAAAGAGGAACTTTTGTCCTGTGGATCTGTCATTTTGTTAAACCAGTATGTGTTAAAACTTTAAAAGAAAAAGTAAAATCCCTTGGAATGGAATGATTCTCTCTGCCATAAGGTACCTCCTGGAGCAGTTATTCTGGAGTGCTCCCTGCCCGTGGCTGCTCAGGTATCTGAACAGCTGGAAGGGCTTTCCATGGACACAGTTCAGTGGCACCAGCAGCAGGCTTGTAAAGTGTCCATGGCAGAGCTCGAGTCTTTCCAGTGCTTTGAATTAAAGTTGGGAGTCTCCTTAATTTTTAGTGTGGGCTCTGCTATTAAATTTGACAGCCTCCCCCCCTTCAATACTGAGCTGCTCTGAAACTACATTTGTTGATAAGGGGCAGATTTTCACTCACAGCTGTTATTTCTATAAAAACAAAAATAAAAATACTAAGCAAAAATAATAAAACTTGTCAGAAACTTCATGAATCCACTACCCACATGTACATGTTTTGCAACCCTATTTTCTATTAACCCAGTATTTCTATGCAAAAAGTCTCTTTGTGAGACTTGTCTTCAGTGACAAAAAGCATCAATAAGTTCTCTAAGCATAAATGATGCAAGTCTCATAATTCATAATGAGCCTATACTTGTACTTAGCAGGTTACAAGATTTGTATAAATTGATTTCAGTCAATTGGTATTTCCTACCTGCATGAAATGATATTCATAAAAGCATTGCAAACTGTTTGGAAAGCTAAGTGAACACAACTTCTTCAGGTGCCTCTGAAGGAAGATCAACACTTTGTTCTTGAAATTCCCATTGGGCATTGGGATGCAGTTTGGCATCATTAGGCACTTACAAGTATTATTTTCTGCCAATTGTGGATTTTTTTAAGTGCTTACAATGATAAAATATCGGGCAATAGATTTTCAAGGATGTTTATTGCAACTGAAGCATAAAATACATATATAGGAGGTTTATGCACTGAACGTGGTGCTACCTGATTTGGCTTTGTGTTGGCTTTGTTGTGCATCTCTGGACTCTACAGTTGCATTCTCTACATTTTGAGTAAAATATATTTGCCAGGTGCTGGGCAGTGGAAGTCAGTTCTATATGCTTGAACTAATGTGCAAATAAGTCTGTAGCTGATTTGGTAATTATTCCATAAAGACTCCAAACCCTGGAATAACAGTTTTTACATTTAATACTGAAGAGTAAATAAGTAAATATGGACTTAGAAAATATTTTATGAAAATAGTAAAATAGGTACTTTCTCAGTATTGTGGAAAATAGTCATGTTGGCATTTTAAAAGAATAGTTGAATCCTTATTCCATTTGCAGTTCTCCCAGGCACACTGTGAATTTATAGTCCTTACTCATTCAGAATCCCATGGATTCTGAATACATTCATCTAAGGAAAAGAGGGCAAATTCCTTTTGACAAAAAAGACTTTCAGTCTTTTTTGGGGAAAAAAGGAAAAGTTTAAAATAGAGAAGGTTTAAAATGCATCATATTGCAAAGAGTTGAATTTTCATTTTTACTTGTAAGTTCCAAAACTGAGAGAAGAGAAATTAATAGTAGAATAACAGCGATGTGCCCAAACCAGTTTCTCAGAACAAAATAATTTAGTGACTCTATTTACCTCTAAAATGGATGGCAGTTATCAGGTTTCAGTGTTTGCATTATGTAACATTCTTCAAAACTTACCAAGAAGTGTTCAGAGTGTGAAGACAAGGGTAAACAATCATCAGTTGCAGAGTTTACCAACAGTAATTTGGTATTCAGTTTGATAAAGTAGTTTTCCACAGTGCAGAGCCTGTCATCAGTATTCAGTCCACAGTGAGCAAATTCTTATCTAGATCTGTAACAGAATAGCAGACCTATTCCTAAGTTAAATTCCTGCTGCAGTAAGTTTTTATTCAGACACAGAGTATATAAATTTTATTGCTAACTAGCACATGGACAGATTCTAATCTAATCACATATCATATTGAAAAGTTCCCTCTGGACTTCTGAAATTGAAATACAGCTCAACACGCCTGTATTGATATTGTAGAATGAGTCTGGCAGATTTGGGAGAAGTAGAAATCCTACTTGTTTTTATATCTCCTCTTTGTGTTTCATTAAAACATATTAAGTAATGGCATTGGGACATAGCTCACCTCAGCCAGCTGACAAGCTGGATCATGTGAAAGAGTTGCAGAAAAACTCTGAAAATAGTAAGTAGGGATGCTGCAATATGCTATGACACTGCATCCCTTCCACTGAGCATCATCCATAGCATATTGATTCATCAGCACAACATGACATTGTAACATCTTTTACTTTCCCACCTACCCTTTCCCAACTGCAGAAAAGAGCAGAAGGGGATATTCTCCACCTTACAGTCTTTAAATACCCACCGTTTTCACATCCTAGCAGGCATAATTATGAGTAAATATGAGTCACAGAGGCTTGTATGTTAATGAATGAGTTTGTTCTTGCATTTTTGCCTGTATCAGACAGCAGTGGGAAGTAAGTATATTTCCTACATTATTAATGCTGTACACTCCAAAGCAGAAGGAATAAATTCATGAATTCCTGTGAAGAACTCCATGGGGCCCATGAGCTACATGACCAGATTTGTTGTGTGAAAATAGATAAGCAGCTCTAGAGAAGTAGCTTTTCTGTCCTTCCATATCTGTAACAACGGGGATTTCAAATCCTGATACTGTTAGTGAATCTTAAAAAACATATCCAATGATTAAAGCCAACAGCTCGGGGGACCAACCTCCTATTACTTGAAATATTTGGATCAGAGGCTCCAACTGTTTTTAATGCAGAATTTGATTGAGTCAGTGAGGGTTCTGTAAGCCACGATCTGTCTTGTACAACAACAGGAGAAGAGAGGATCGCTGCTGGGGAATGGCAGTGTGTGAATCTGCATTTCTGTGAAACATTCACTTACCCACCCCTCAAGGACAGCATCCTCCCTATTTTGAGCCTGAATTTTGTTACAACCATGTTTATCACAGTTCAAAGAAGCTGCACAGTGTAGAATGTCATTATCTTAACTTTCAGTCTGCTTGATGTATTAAGGAAGTTTGTCCAGAGCTTTCAGATGCTGAAGCCAGTATGGATGAGTTATTTAGGAATAGAAAATACTAATACTTGTTAGTTTGTTAGTACGTAGGATGACAGCTAAAACAAAAAAGGTATTGGGTTTTTTTTTGCATATGTATGAATTTAAGAGTAGCAGGGCTGAAGCAAAGTTCTAATGCCCCCGTTTTTTTCCTCTTGTTTTCAAGGAATCACTACGGTTCTAACCATGACCACTCTCAGCATCAGCGCACGCCATTCTTTGCCCAAGGTGTCCTATGCCACCGCCATGGATTGGTTCATAGCCGTGTGTTTTGCCTTTGTGTTCTCTGCACTCATTGAGTTTGCAGCTGTCAACTACTTTACCAACCTGCAGGCTCAGAGAGCACTGAGGAAGGCAGCCAGGGCAGCAGCACTGGCAGCAGCACTATCGGCAGCGACTGTACCGGCAGAGGACGAGATTGTCTCGGTAATTGCTTGCTTTTCTGATAATAAGCATCATATAGGAAGAGGCAGCTGAAGTAGTGAATGCAAAACAATATTAAAGTGATCTTAACCTGAAACAGATTATGTAACCAGATCGTGTCTGATTATCACAGACATTGTTCTTATTCAAGAAAATGAAAAGTCTTAAGTTATTCATACTGTTTATTTAAATCTGCGATATGATTTACTAGAGATGTTTATTTGGTAAGATACTTAAGGAAAGTCATTAGACTGTTATCCATAATACTTCTCTTGAGCAATGCTGTAGGCAGTGTGTGTGGTCAGGCAAGTGTGGTTCTCAGAAAGTCTGCAGAATTTGTAGGAGAGTGTACAATGGAAGGAGCATGTGCCTTGGCCAGATGATTATGGGATCAGTGTCAGACACAGTACATACCATAAGTGGGTCATCTGGAAGATGGGTAATTAGCTTTTACATAAACTTGGCATCTGTTACTTCTCTAAAAATCTGTGTTGGTGGAAGCTTGGGGAAAAAAAGCATAAATTAAGGATAGATTTTAGAACATGCGAAAGACAGGAAGTCTTTCTAGTATCAAAAAAAGTATGTCAGAATTGCCTGTAAATATTATTCCTTACATCTCAGGCTAAGTAATGAATGCTGCTTCTCAACATATGTTAATATATTTATCGCTATAGCCCTCCTGTTTCAAAATCAGTTTTACTACCACAACAATTTCCATTTTTAGAGGAATAACAGAATTGGAATGACCTTTTGCAAAACCTCTGAGTCTGTAACGAATAAGGAAGTCAATCTAAGAGGTGCCCGTATCAGGACACCACCTTACCATATAGTCATGTTTCCACATTTTCTTATAAACAGCAGTTAAAGTACATTTAGGTACATTCAGACCATTAAACTCATAATTGATAAGTTCCATATAATAGCAAAACCAAAGCTCCACAGCATCTTGCTGCTGGTGCTCATTAGAACAAATGCTCTTCACTTCAACTGGGAAGCATTATGCTTGTAAGCCATGTTGTATTTTGCTTATAATGGTATTAATATTGAATAGAAATTAAGACATTATAAGCCATAAGAAAGAAATTAATTTTATTTTCATTAAATATATAAATGCAAAAAGGAAAAAAGAAAATCTTTATATATTTTAATCAAAAATATTTCAAAATACTATGAAGCACCCTCCTTCCCCCTTCAGCCTAGTTAATTTTATATAAAATATTGCTTTATTTGAATATACAGAATTTTTCACACAGTAGTCAAAAAGTCTGTACACTCAGGAAAGAAAGATGTCAGAAGCCCAAATTCTGCTCTCCTGTACTAATGGAAGCAGGAGCAGCTCTGGTGCACTGGCTGACTGTGCTGGTTTGGAGGAGGGACAGTGGTCTGGCTGAGATCATCCAAGTGCTCCCAGCCCAGCAGGCCTGGGCTGGCTCCAGGAAAGCCTCTCTGTTGACCTCAGTTAACTGAGCCAGGCTTTGGCTTGCTCTGCTCGTCAGCTGCAGGCAAGGCCTGTGTGAAACACAAACCTAGGGGTGTTCCACTGCAAAACCCGATGGCAACAAGCTGAGGAGTCATCTGGCCCCTGACACAACCCTGTGTTTATTCAGGTGCTGGCCAAGCTTGTTTCAGCAGGTCAAACCCAAAGGTGTTATATATACCAGGTATAAAAACCACAATGACAGTTAGCTTTTTAATCCATTTCAAATGTAAATTTTCTGTATCAATCTTACTGTTTCATCACTATGGCTTTCTTTATGCATTAAGATCCCAATACTGGAAGTTGCAGGAGAAGGGAATTGGTGACACTTTCTGGAGTGCACCATTTGGAGTAATGCTTTGTGAGGTGGTCAGGGAGTACACCCCATGGATCAAAAGACATCCTTTCCATGTGAGAGACTACATTTAAAAGACAAAAGATTACCACCCTGTAACAGCTTGATTCCCAGTTATTTTCTGAAAGACCTCTTGTTTTAACAGAAAACAGCACAGAGCAGGGAAATCCCTCTGGGAGAGCTTCCTTCTCCCCACAGCCTTGTCCCTGTGCTTCGAAATAACATGGCTTGGGCAGAAAAGGATTCTCATTTTCTTTGAGAACTCTGACCAACTGCAGAGCAGCCATATGTCACTGGTGTAGAGGATTTAGAATTCCTTAATTACATCAGAATATATTGAATATGTTTAATGAGTGTTCTAGTATAACTAAGGGAGAGAGCTTCTCTTTGGATTATCAAGCACCCTTTATGAGATCATCCTAGAAACAGCTACATGCATTAAAGTCTTGACTGAGAACATGGCATTTTCCATCAAATTAGGGAGACCTTCCTGCTCCTTCACAATTATCAGATCATCAAGTAGACTGTTAAAAACAAACAGCAACTTTCAATTATATTGACTTTTTGTCATCCCAACAAAAAAAGTAGATGCTGATTATTTGGTTCTGCCTGAGATAAATATTCGTCTGATTGACAAAGCCAGTGCAGAGCAGTAAGGAAGATTTAGAAGTAGCTGATATCACACTCCAAAACAGGAAAAAGAAAAGATTAACTTGATTTCAACATTTTTTTTGTTCAACGCTGAAGTCTGATCCCAGTACTTTTTTCCAGGGAAGCAGTGAGAACAAAATTAAGTAAGTTAAATTATGGAAAAAACCTCAAACAAACCTCTCTAGTGCTGTTTGTGTTATTCTGTCCCTAGTGCTGTTTGTGTAATTTAGACACTTGAAGCAGTTTCTCTATGCTGCAGAAATTTTGCAAAGTAAAGGTAGAGACAGGGATTGTTTTGGACAGACACTGATAGATTTAAGAGCCAAATGTGACTCTGAACATTTAAATCTGTTTCACAGAAAAATATATTTTGACAGCAGAGGGGCTCTGTAGCAGTGATATGATTTTTCCAGTATGCTACAAATGAATGTTAGGAAGAGACTCTGCCACAGCACATCCCACTGCAAAGAGGGTGACGATGGCTCCAGTCTCTGCTGTCCTTCATGTGCACCTGCTTTATGGGGCAGCAATTTTAGTCCAATGGACAGGGGATATTTTTCAAAGTCATGTTTTCTGCCTCTGCTTTGCATGGAAAACCCCTAGATTTCCCATGCAAAGTAAAATAGCTTTGAAATAATAAGGTGACAGCCTCTCCCCCTAATCACCTTTACCTGGTGGTTAGGCTAGATTTTGAGAAAGATGAATTTCAGGCCCTGAAGGTTAAGAAAGAATTTGAACATGGTTTTCCCATGCTCCAAGTGAGTTATTTAACCTAAGTAATTTAACCCTTTTACTAAGGTAAAATATGATGAAAACCAATCTGCATGTTATTCCTCATAATACTTCTAGCAAAGGGAACCTAAATTTCCTAAAAAGATGCCTAAAGCTAGGGCTGTTAATGACTTCTAAACTATAGTCAGCTTTTAATTGTGCAGGACACTGTTTATAGATGTTTGCAATAGACATGTTTTGAATCAGATCCCACAGATGGGATATGCAAAGGAATGTCTAAATTAGGGGTTATAATGATTGTCTGTCAGGAGATGGATGCTGAAACTGCACAGGACTGTAAAGAATGAGGTACCTTCAGGCATGGCCAAAAGAAGATGTTACATAATGTGATGGACTTTCCTGCTGCAAGATGCTGCATGTGGATTGTTCAATAGCTGAGCAGTTTTTACAGATCCCACTGTTGGATGGAGGGGCTAATCCATGTTATCTCCCTCTTTGGGATCTGAGTCATTAGCATGTGCTGTCATGTGCGTCATACAAATGTTTGAAACTGCTCAAACTGTATCTACTGATGAGCAGAGACAAAGGATGTTATGTGTTTAATTTAGCATTCTGCCCTTCACAGGCATTGAGTTTTGGTTCTAGGTTGGGTTTTTTGTGTGTATGTTTTGTGACATTAGCAAAGTTCAATATCTTTAATCCAATAAATTATAAAGAAAAGGAAAATAACCCATTATTTTTATCTAAATGTTTAGAGTATATTTTACTGCATTGCTGCCAGGAAAAAGAGATGTGAGTGAGTAAAAGAGAGACAAGTAAAGACATAGAGATATTAATTTGTTTAAAGTTAGCCAGTATCTGAATTGCATATTTAAGATGCTGTTAGATCATAAACTAAACTGATAGTGAGAATATGTATTTGCAGTACAAAGCAACAGAGAAGAGCCCAGAATTCTACGAATATGAATTATAGAAATCTCTTGAGGGAAAGAAACATAAGAACAAAGTGCATTCATAAATCACAGTTACCATCCACATCAAAATCAGAGAAGGCAGACAAAGAATTCTGTTTACTCCTCAGTTATATATGCTGTATTTTTTGAAATCTGGAAGCCAAGAAATTTGCTGAAAGCCTCCTGAGATATTCTGAGAGTAAGCAAGTTCTAATGGTATTGAGGAGAGTTGTGGGGGAGCAGCATCTTTATGGACAAGATGAGACTGCTTTGTGGGCTTTCCAGGGGATGGGATTGCTTGGCTGCAAAAGCTTAATAGAAGGCAGACTGTGCCTTACAGACCACAGATATGCCAGGCTTTGTCTAGCCCAGTGTTCTGGGGTCACACTAAACAAGGACCTGGCAATCTGTTGTGTGTCACTGGGTGGGCAGAGGCAGTGGCAGGTTTAATTGCCCCATGGGACAACATTCCACAGGAGTGCCAAAGCACTGCTCTGCCTCAGGGCTCAGTGACTTCAGCAAAGCCAATATTTCATTATGACACTGTGCCACTCTTCAGGCTCCCTGGAACACACTCCTTACTTTCTGAGGGATTGGCTCTGGGAACTATGCAAAATAAGCTGTTCACTGCCATTTTCTCTGTGTTCTATTAATGTTTCATGATGTTATTGTGGGTAATCTTTGTCAAAAGGAGAAGTTAAATCTAAATATAGTAGAAAAATTACTGTAGCTGGTGTTCAGAACTCAACTGTAAGTGAATTCCAATGAAATATATGAGTTGTGGTTCTGGGGCAGCAAGTCTGGTCTACAGTCAGCTACCATACTGAGAAACATCTTCATTACATGTGGGAGAGAAATTTGGACTTAGAATTCCATATCCTTCACAGTGGTACACAAGAAAATACACTTGACCCTGAGTTGCTGTATGGGAACACAAGAGTGTTAAAGACAGGGTAAAGAACTACTTAGGGTTTTACTTGAGATGGAATCACATTCAGATAATCTTCCTTTTATAGCAATCCTCCTTCTATAAGAATGGGATTTAATAAATATAAATAAAATACCAACCAGGATTACACTTTTTCAAGTGCCTATTCAAATGATCACAAAGATTTTACTACCTCCACATTCTAAATATGCTCAGTACTGAACATCATCCACAGACCATATGCTACATCTGTTCTACTTACTATTAACTCCATCACTGATTCATGCTTGAATGACCCAGAGCAGAATTTGACCCACCTTATACCACAATATTGTAGGACTAGAAGGGCTAAAATTCACCTTAACACTTACATTTTTTGGAACCACTTATTCTCCACAAAGGTGAAGTTATTCCCCAGTACAGTGAAAGCCAAGATACCTTCCAGCTTGTCCAGTTCAGCTCAAAGCAGGACAGGCAGACAGGGCAGCAACTGGACTGGGAGCAGCCAGGCAGCTCAGTGTGTCTGTGTGAGAGAGGGATTATTGTTCTGATTAGTGCAAGTGGACATGGATAACCCTCTTTNGGAGATCATCCCCCATTTAAATCGCTCTGTTTCTTGCTGTGTTACTGGAAAATACAACCCCAAACATCTGTGTTCCAGATAGGCACAGCCCCAGAGCAGGAATGCTGTTTAACACCATTCCAGACACGGCAACAACCATATAATGTTGGAAGTGGTGACGGGTTGTAGGGGAAGAAGAAGGGCAATAGGTAAGAGAGAGAAATACAGAAAAAGTACCTTTTTTTTTTTCAAATAAAATGTTGTTCTCTTTTTATTCAGACTAAAATCATCTCTCCCTAATTTTAGTTGGATACCAGTCCATTCATCCATGAGCAGAGCTCATGTTGTAGCAACATCCCTTGTTCTGATTCTCTGACAGTAACACTGACTGCTGAAAGGATAATTCCTGTTATAACTATATTTTAAATCATCCAGGGGACACCAGGTGTGTTAGGCTAGTCTGTTATCTAGAAATTGTGGCCCAAGTACAAGGGTAGGCAATGTATTTCAGAAAATGCTGCTTTTCCCTTTAGTGACTCAGTCATTTATCTGATTGCCCAAAATCTGTTTAGAAATCCTGCAAGATAAATCCCAGAAATGCTGACAGTGGAGTACATTTAAGTGAATGGTTGTCATTAAATCATTCCCAAAGAATGCCTTTGGACATTGCATATCTAACAGCACTTTTCTACCTTAAAACCATTCAAATGTTACCCTTCCATTTTACTATAGATGTCTGTGCTGTTATATTGCCAGTTATTTACGTTGTCTAAGACTTCCCTCACCTGCTTCAGTCATTTGGCCATCAAGTTCTGCTGACCAAAAAAGCTACTTATCTAACCCAAGAATATCTGTATGTTGTGCGATTTTTCATCAATAATCCAGGAAGTGATTTTTTTCAGTTCTTTATTAACAAAGATTTAGGCTCAAGCTCAACTAAACTGTTGTATGTTAGCTTTGTGTTTGAGAGCCTGAGTGACTTCTGTTGCTCTGGGTTAGAACCCCACAGCACCCCATCAAAACAATACCTGTTAGAACCCCACAGCACCCCATCAAAACAATACCTGTTAGAACCCCACAGCACCTCACTGAAACAATAAAAACCAACTCAACACTCTTGGCATTCATCTGTATTTTCTCAACCATCAGATGAATCTTTTGGCTGCTTCCACACATCCACTAATGGCAGTCCTGGGATATGGCAGTGGGAGCAAGGTTTTTGAAATTTTTCTCCTATTTGACACTTCTGTGAAAGTGGGCAACTGATATCCATTAGGCATGGAGCCTGTGGCAGACCCTGTTCCTGAACCATTTCTGCAAGGAAGAAACCTATTACTTCTACTCTTGTGAAAGTAAAATAATGGCAACTTGGCCACAAATAAAACAGATGTACATAATGAATATACTTGTGAGCCTAGTAACTAAAAGGTAAGCTCTAAACGTTCCTGAGTTCTGGCTGGATTTTCATAGGAGTTTTCTTGCGGCTTTCTGAGAATAATTGGACCTGGCTATGAATATTGCACAAAATATGGGAGTCATTTGGTTTCATTTTACCATAAATGAAAATAAAAATTGCCCCATTACAGTTAAGTACATTTGTCTTCAGTCAAATGCATGGAAACGCTGTAGGAATCATGAGATATATTTGAAAAGGAAATTTCATCCTAGAAAAAACAACACGACAATTTAACATTCATGTCTTCAGCACCTGTAAAGTTACTCCATTGCCTTTAGTGCAGCAATTTTGTAGCTTTTGTGTGACAGCTCGACTTCATTCGGAGAGTGTTTACTGAGCTTATCCCTGGGTTCACACAGGGAAGACTGTGCTTGAGCCAGCCATGTGTGTTATCTTGTTTAAACTTCACCCATATCTGCATAAACTTCAGTCATACCAATATATTGCAACTTAGATGCATCATTACCTTCCTCTCCATTTAGCTCCATCTTTTCTTTTTCTCTCTTGTAGCTTCCATGTATTACTACATTAAAAATATGAAAAGCACATATTCTGTCCTGTTTTTCCAGCAAGGCCTTAGGCCACAAACATACCTCTGTATATTTGCAGTATTTTTGTGATTTCCTTAGGTTGCACTATAGCAGAGAAGCAATGATAGAATCAGAAAGTTGAGTAAAAAGATGGAAAGAAGCCTAATGATCACAAAACCTAAGACTCGGTATCAAAAAATAACCCTTTTTTTTTTCCTCTCCCCTCTTTCTTCTTTTCTTCCACAGCATTCTGACTCCAACTCTAACCTGAAGAAGCGAGTAAACTCTGTAACATCTCAGGCAGAGCAGTCTCCTGAACCCAGCATAATATCAAATACTGCATCCCAGTGTCAGGCAGTGTCTGTGCCTCCACCTGCCCCACCACAACCACCAGCTATTGGAGGTGCCAGTAAAATAGACCAGTATTCCAGGATCCTCTTTCCAGTGGCATTTGCAGGATTCAACCTGGTGTACTGGGTGGTTTATCTTTCAAAAGACACCATGGAAGTGAGTAGTTAATTTTCTGAATACTTGTTTATAATATATGTTTACTTGGGCAATATGATTTCAACTGTTCATGTACTCCTGTGACTGCAGGCAATGATTCCTTTCTGAGGAATCACAGAAGGTCTGCTCTGACAGACCAGCCCTGGAGCAGCTGTGGCCCTCAGCACAGCACAGCGGCTGTTTGAGGAGGGCAAATGCAAACCCTCAGCTCTCAGCCACGTTGCACTGAGCACAACATGCTGTGTAAGACAATCTGTGATGTCATTCTTGGCAAACAATTCCAGGAATTTGTGCAGTAAGGAATGGTAGAACTATCTTTTGAAGCAATGCAGTGAAGGAGATAAGAACTTTAATATCCTAAAGTTTTCTCAGTAAGGTAGTACAGTAAGACTCCCCCAAAAAGTTTCTTATGCATGGTATGAAAGATTAATAACTGCAGTATAAAGTTTGTGAGTCAAGAATCCCTGGTTTTATACATTTTAATGTTGATTTTCCCTATTTTTTTCATATAACTGCACTGTTTTATGCAGATAAAGCTGTTAAATTCTTTGCTTAAGTTTGTTTGAATCAGGTAGAGAGAAATATCCTGAGGTCCAGAAGAGATGTGTGCCCTGCAAATTGGGCATGTCTAGAATAATCAGTCAGTGATTAGCCATTAAGTCTTTAACGCTTTAAATCTCTAATTTTTCCCTTTTTGCCTAAACACAGTTAATGGTTTCCCATTTCCTTGGTAAAAAATACATTCATTTGCCTCGTTGCCATAGAGTTTTTGGATCTCCCTGTACATTGCAGTCAATATGATTGGTACATTTAGCTTTATTTAGGACAGCTAGAGAGATAATGAGGGTATTTAGATAGCACTGAATGCACAAAGTCCCCACAGCAGTCCAAACGGGCTGGAGAGCTGTGGGTGAGTGCTGGTGGGGCTGGACCTTCGTCTGCTGGCTCAGAGGGAAAGCTGAGGGCAATGTCTGAGACAGCCCAGAGGTGCTGCAGGTCAAGGGGACCAGGACAGTGCTGAGCAGGCGCCTGGGGCACGTTGGCTCTGCCTGAGGCAGAGGCTCCCAGCCCCTAATTTGGCTGATTGTTGCCCCAGTGTGCCGTGGGAAATGCTGTCTCTCAGAGCTGGAGATGCTGCCAAGCAGCTCTGTGGAGTCAGGAGAGCAGGAAGGTGGGAGGCACTGCCTCTGCCAAACCTTCCTGCAGATGTCTCTCTCAAGAGGCCACAGCTGCCAACTCCCGGCCACTCCAAACGTGGCCAGTGATAAATTCAGCATTTGTGCCAGAGTTACTGATCCTGCTGCTAAAATCCTGACTGTGTGTGCAAAGTCTGCCCTCAGGCAGAGCAGGGGAGGAGCGAGCAGCTCATGGACACCGTGCAGCTCCTGGGGAGGGGTTGGTTCCTCAGCTTGCCCAGCTGCTCTCCAGGGATTCCATTCAGCCTTCACACTTTGCAGCTAGAAATATTTGGAAGACAGTTGCCATTTCCCCTGGTAGTGAGGAAATATTTACACTAAACCTTGTATATTAATAGTTACATTAGAACTAGCCTTTTAAAATACTTGAAAAGTCTATGACAAAGTGCTGACTATAAATATTTTTAAATGCTACTTTGCAAGCTCACAAATATGCTCAGAAGCTCAGAAATTATGTTCTGTAGTAGCATCATAGAAAGATAGACATCCAACAGCAACATTTAGAAAAGAGAGAAGTATTGACAGCTGGGGTGTTTGGAATTATGAAGAATGTAAACAATTATGTAAAATGTTGATCAAGCTCTTCTTCATAAATTATATTTTCCTGTTTATGTACTCATTTGTAACTAATAATGATTGTGATATACACTGCTAGGTTTCTAAATCAATATGTTGTATCACTTTACCAGTTGTTACTTTCAAGGAAAACTAGGATATTTTTTTGCTTTAAAAACATATTAAAAGTAAGTAAGCCTTTCTAGTCAAGCAGAGGAGATACAAAAGTTGGGTGAGCAAAGCATGGCATGTTCAAGGGCAGTTCAACTTAATTTCTGGCTCCCTCAGGCCCAATAGATTAAATATTGTTACAGTATTATTCAGGTTATTCAATTTAAAAAGCACATTTTGTGCGGTATTTCAAGTAAATTGAATATATATCTGTATATCTATATAGATCTATATATTTTTGCTTTTTTCACTGAGCTCCTGTGGCTTTTGTTTAAAACAAAATGGGGAAAAATTCATTGAAATATCCCGTTCTTGTAGTGCAGCTTTCCAGGATTTTGATTAGTTTAGTTTGGAGAGCAGAACATTATTCACCAAAGTCTGTCATTGTGGAGATTCCCAAACCCAACAGCTGTACAGTAGCAAACAAGACACATTTGTCTAAATTAGCCAAATGAAAAGTTCTTGAAAGGAGAACAAACCTTTCTGAGAAATAAGAAGTTGTTCTAGATTTTTATTTTGTCATACAGTATATCTTGGCTTTGCTTTTTTGTTTTAAATCTTGCTAAATCCTTCAGCTGAATACTAATTTATGATGGTGACCTTGGTAGGTGAATTGCACACTTAGTTTATTTTAAAATTTGCTTGATTTAGGATGCAAAGAGTCCCCTTTTAAAGAGAAGACTACAAGTACTTCTCTGCCATGTAATTCACAATGCATATGATGTTTTCACATCATCTTACACATCTTATTTCTAAATCTATCTATCTTAATTTTTACATGTAACATTATATTACACTTTTTCATGTAATAAAGCTTGGAATGATGGAGTGAATGACACTAAAGAGGGAGATGATCTTAAACTTTTGATGATAAACCACAGAGAAACAAGCAGAGGCCACCTTTTTGTTTGGGAGCAGAGGAAGATACAAACTCACTAACTGGGCTAAATGTGCTGAGTCCTGGGTATTATTTGGACACAGAGAACTCAGTACGATGGCAGGAGGGGAGTTAGGTGAGCAGCTGAGGAAGATGAGATGCTGATGATGGCAAGTGGGGAGAAAAAAACAGAGAAAGAAACGAGAACTGGAACAGTATTTGACTGGTATGTTGTTATCCACAAAGCTGGCAGGATGTGGCAGGATGTTTAAATGTTTCCATTTAAACACTTGCAAAATAAAGTTCAGGGAAAGAGCCATTTCCATACACACTTAACTGAGCTTTGATGATCCAGGCAACGAGCATCAGATTCTAAGAGGATTCTCCCCTGTCATGCAGTTCTCTTTTAAGTCTGCTGCGAGTCAGAAATCACATGGGTTTGTTGGTTTGCCCAGTTTTTGTTAACAGTTGGTAACAACCCATAATTAACCTTCTCTCTAAACTTGTCTTGCAGTTTTTTGAACCTTCTGCAATGCATTTCCGAAATGACCCTCAGTCCAACTGAGGAACAACTCCAGATTTCAAGGAAATCGCTCGAGGTCTCAGAGGGTTGAAGAGATTTCAAAAGATTTGTCTGTCTGTCCACAGGTGCTCTCCATTTTCAAACAGGGAATATTTATATTGGACATCACCTGGATGCAAACTCTGGACAAATCAAGAGCTGCAAACGTCTTGGGGTTCTAATGATACTTTCTTAAGATTTCTTACAGTGATTCTACTACAGAAGTTCTTCTTAAATTGTTTTGTTTGATTGTCAAAGGAAAGAACGTGCATTTGTTCTAAAACTGTTGCAAACAGTTGAACATTTACATCGATATAAAATATCAATAAAAGATTTGTTGGGTTGGGTTTCTTTATATAGAATAAGGATTGCTAAAAGGAGCCTGATTCTGAAATGGTTGGGAGTTGCACTGATTTCCATCACTTGACATTGACCCAAAATACTGTTGGAAAGAAATCCTATGAAAAGGAGCTGCAGTTCCATAATGTTTTAATCCTTTTATGTAAAAGATTAATGATTATTTATTTTTATTTCATTTTAATCTTTAATTTGAGATCATATTTATAAAGAATGAGATCTAAGAAAAAAAGGAAACATAAGCTATTTTTTGTGTGCTTCAGCTGCTCAGCTGCCATGGGGTGACTGTTCCTGTTGGGAGTGACCACGGCAGCACAACCAGACTGAGAACAAGCAATTGCTCAGCAGGATCTGGAAATGCAGGACTGAGATGTCAGAGAGCTTTCAAGGTCTAAAGCTGAATAGACAGAAAGATGCAGCTCCCCATCAAGCTGCATGCAAGGCTCCAGCTCCAGGGAACTGCCTGGAAGCAGCTCTGGATAGCTGGTTAAGGAACAAGCTGCATTTATCAGCTGATTCTACTGAATTGCCTGTAGCAAGCTCCCTAGAAATTTTTTCCAGAGCCAAAGTAGTGTCAGCATATTCAGAGTTTGAAGGTAATAATATTTTGTCATTCTCAACACAAACAGCCACAGAATTTCTTCGTTCACCCTTCATCTCCATAATCCCTCTTTAAATGTGATCAGGAAACATATGCCTAATCCAGTCAATCCCAAACCTGTTTTATTGCAGGTGTAATGGTCATTGGTAGGAGTCAGAAGCACTCAAAGAAGTTTTAGATGCAGCCAAATAAAAATTAAGGATTCTGTTCTATTTTGAAATTAATTTTAGTAAAATAAAATAATAAAATGACACATGGATTCAGGATATTCAGGGTCTTTTGCTTTGTCTAAAAAAGCATCTTAATCCCTGTGAAAAAATATTTACAGGATGACCAATGAAGTGCAGTAAGTCATGGACTGTTACTGGACTGTTATTGACAGTGGTAGCTGTGTGATGCCCCAGCTCCAGTTGTTTTCCTCCTGTTTCCAGAGGAGTCAGGAGCTTTTCCCAGTGTGGGAGCTGCACTGAACAGGGGCCATCACTCTTTGTCCACCCTGTTCTCCAACGCTGAGGGGCTCAGATGGAACAATTTGGGGATTCAAGCCAACAATACCATTGTTTGCACAGATGTGCCACGTTTTCAGTTGGCTGTTCCTGGCACACTTGGATGGATTTGTAAGTGTGCTGAAGTCTTTCTTCATTTTGCTTTGAAACTAAAATTGTGACAATTTTTCCTATTTTCAGCCTTTATATACTATTTTAAGAAAAAAATGAACCTATGGATATTGGACAAGTATTTTATAATTTGTAAATACATCTTATTTGAAAAAAAAGCAAATTGTGCTGTATGGACCCAGAAGTAATTTTTTTGGGTAACTATACTCATTCTTGCTTCACAGATTAACTTTTATTTTGAGTACATTAATTTCTGTAAGAGTTTTCTGAGTATTTTAAAACTGGTTTATGCACAAAATGAAAATGTTTAAAAGCTGTAGTAAAACAAGTGACACTAAGGAGCTAAATTTTGTATCTGCTCTTTGCCTAAAAGAAAATTAAATATGAATTTTACAGGAGATGCAGAGAGTTACTAAATAGTCACTATTTCCTTGGAGTGTAGTACTTCAATGTGTAAAATGTTGTAATGTCCTGATTAGGAAGCTGTATCAGCACCTTAAAACTGTACTGGTAGCACTTGGTTTTTAACAACATATTTCAACATGAGCACAAAGGCTACTTATCCTTTTTTTTCCAAAGAGCTTCTCATGTGGATAAGACAGACCAGGGTTGGTTCTCCACAGCTGTTTGAATGGGAGGAAGGGAATGTATATTTTTCTGTTCCATGCTTTGTAGAGACAGGGGTGTGAACAATACTGTTGATAATGTTAAGTTCTATCTTTGAATAAATGTAATTACTTACAATTAATGTCAGTTCTTCAAAATCCTGGTTATGGTGAAACACCAACCAAGCAAGCACGGCTGTAAAAGAGCAGATAAATAGAAAAAGGTTGTATGTATAGGTTTATATATATATATGTGTGTATATATTTTATGTATGCATATATACATATGTATTTCTGTAGAAAATATAAATAAATAATAATAATTATATTTCTTTATTTAGTACAAATTTAAAGGGGATATGGGTTTTTTCCAGTATTTTTGACTGCACTGAAATAGGAAGAGCAGGAGCTAAAGTTGATATAAGATGGGAATTTCTATATGGAAAACAGACTCTGTGGGAAGATGGGCCATTCCCTTGAGCTATTGCACTCTGGGAATACATTATTCAACACTGACCTAACTTTAGATATATCCAGGTAGAAAGGATTTTCTGGTTTTAGCCCACCCACCCCACAAAGTGTAGCTTAAATTCATTTTTAGCATATTTTGCTTGTTCAGAAGTGCAAGAAACAGAATAACTAAGAACACAACTACAGAATTATGCAATAGTACAATAGAATCTGTTCTCCCTCCATTATTTTTTCATAATTTCTAAACCAAATAAAAATCCAGCAGTTTTAAGATGTAGAAACTGTGCAATGACACACTAGACCAGCCCTGAGATCATCCACTGCTCTGCTCAGAGGAGAGTCTGAACTGCAGCAAGAGCTGCATAAACCCCATGAATGATGATGGAAGTCCTCAGTACTTTTGGTCCAGAGCACTGGGCAGGGCTTTGATATTTTGATGCTGTCAGGTTACTCACTCAAGGCCTTTCCCTTACACATGTGCAAACAGAATTCAGGGGTGACTGTCATTGCTTATTCATTACACTCTTGTTTCTCTTCCAGTTCATTACAAGAGCAGCTCATCTGCCTTCTTTAAAGAATTCATTCTTGCAGGATTTTCCTCTAATCAGTAATCAATCAAAGCCTTTCAACTCTCCATATAAATGCTGTCTGTCACCTGTCTTTATGGAGAAACCTGGGAAGAAAAAAGTCCTTATCCACAGGCAGAATGGTAGAGACTTCACAAGTAAACTGTTGTGTTCTGCATCCCTAATTCAACCAAACGGTCACTCAGCCAGCGCTGGAGTGGTGCTTGTGGACAAAAATCCAGACCTACGCCTCATTTCCAGCAGCAGTTTGGTGCAGGCAATACCATGGAGTGTCAGCAAAGGACATTGGAAGCAGAAGTTAATGACAAAGCACAAACTAGACAGGTTTTGAGATGCAAGTCTTAGAGCAGAAAGTTTGACAAAGAGAAATGAAAGAAGCCAAAGAAACCAAAATCATCTCCACAGTTTTAAGGTAGGAAACAGAATTCCACGCATATTGAGAGCCATTCTTAAAGAACAAACAAACAAACTATTCCTATTCCTGCCCAAACCCAAAATATAAGTGATCTTTCAATTACAGTTGGGGGAAAGAACCTAACTCACTTTGCAACACATTTGGTTTGTTCTCAAAGGGGTCATTAGTTCATGAAAACATGATCTGACCTCCATTCTGACTAGACTGTTTTATTTTCCATAGAGTAATCTTACTGGTTTTAAGGTACTAAATTCTTTGCAGCCTTAAGAAGCAAATGAGCCTCCTTTAGGCTATATATAGTTATATATTCAAACACCACAGCAAAGGTTTTTCTCCCCACCTCACACCTGCTTTGTTTATAGTAACATTTCCATGGAGCAGATAGAAATATTTTGTAATTTAAAACTAAATAAAACTAATGATCTACGACACTTTCCTGGAATCCTTATTTCTGCTGTTCCTGGACATTAAAAAAGCCAGCTTTGCTTTGGCTAAAGCTCGAAAATACCCGCTGTTAGAAGCTGACTTTTCTAAGGGCTGTAAACTCCATGGGCTGATTTAAACCCCAGGGAGTTATGGTGTTCCCAGTTAAGATGTGGGAACAGTTAGGAGGTTTAAAAGGGGGATCTCAGCAACAAAGTCCCAGGCTTTTACTGTGAAATGAAGCACAGTAAAAGACAAATCCTAAAGCCCAAACTATGCTCTTTATTGTCTGCTTTCATCCTCTTCATGTCTGCTAAGCGACCTGACTTAACTGTTATTTAAGTCAATGCATAACATTTGCAATCTCATCAAAAATTCTGTTGATGAATTGTTAGTTCCATAGCTGGGTCTGTGGGAAAGAATGGATGGTGAGACCGACTGGAAATTATCACAAATAGAGCCCTGTTTATCAGAGATTTGAATTTCTCTGAATTAAATGTTTACCATAGATTCAGATGCCTTAAGAAGACCAGCTCAAAAAAATCAGTGTCTACAACTTTCAGTAATTACATGAATTAAGGCAAATGTATCCTTAAATGCTATTCTTAGGAATGTCTATTATAGTACTTCTTTTAAAGAATGGAAGCAAAAGAAACAAGCCATTGTTTATGTGGCCTACGGAGGCAACATGAGGAGATTATAACAGTGAATAAAGCATAAAACCCTTACAGGTGCAGGAACTTAGAAACACCATAGATGTCTTTATAAGAAACTCTATATGGTGTAACTCTCTTCTGCAGGCATACAAAAATTCTGTATCAGAAATTCACTTTGTGTTTGAAATCTGTTTATTAACAGCTCATTACAAAGCAGTCACAGGAGTATTATTGTGTGCTTGAAATAAATTCAAACCACTGGGTAAATGTGCTCTATTCAGGACCAATAAGCAGCAAACAAAGCTAAGTGAGTGTAAAACTAATTCCAGCTGTACTTAAAGTTGAGATGTACATGACTCCAAAGTTCTACCTTTATTTTAAGACTGGAAAGTAATTTATTCACTTGCAATTTGAAGACTGGTCAAGGAATCATGACTTTCATATGTGAACACCTTAATGTTCTGAAATAATCAGGAAAATATCCAGGTCACTGATGTGCAAACTAACACTTTTCCTCCCTACAAGTTCCATTTAAAGGTGCAGCAATTTTCTTTCCAAGGAAAAAATAATTTCTGGAGTTGGTAACAGTCTTTGGAAACTGTTGTGACTTTAGTACTAAAAGGAGAAGGCAAAACTGGATTTTGTTACTTTGCTACTTCAGCAAAGGAAAGTTTTGTCATTAAGATTATTCAAATAAATGTCATTTGTGATAGTCTCCAAAAAGGCAGGCTGACAATTACAGACAAATTAAAACTTACATTTACCCAGTGAGCCACAGTCCTTATTGGGCACACCAGCATTGCCTCAGAGGCTGAGGAGATGCTAAAGGGGTTGGCACCATTACAGGGAAATTATGGAACAAAGAGCCGGTTTTTTGTGGTGTGGAAGGACAATGAGCCTTCTAATTCCTTCACATCAGTGGAACTGCAGAAATGGAATAATACTGGAGTGCAATCCAAGCACATGCTGCTAAAAGTACTTTCACTGACATGTCATTGCTCATGAAAGCCACAATGTCACATGAAAATTAGCACCAACAAGGTCGGTGAGCAGACAGCACCAAGTCAGCACAACTCTGCCTGACATTGTTTTCAAAAAAAAAACCATTTCATTCTAGAGACAGTAAAAAGTTTTCTCAGAAAATGTCAGGGAACAGTTTTCCTCTGTCAGTTCTCATATTATTCTGCATACATTTCTGGGCAGTTTAATGAAAACTTGATAGGTTAGGTCAATCTGTGGCCACCAGGAGTGACACCACAGATGTGTCACTCCCACTATTATTAATACAAATGCCTTCCTTAGATGGAATGCAGGTCCTTCTGTCTAGGAGGAATTCCGAGTAAGTTTTTACTCCTGTGAAGTGCAGCCTGTCCCATGCCAAGGCTCAGTTTCTGTCTGTATGAAGGGACTGCTCAAAGGCTACTGGATGAATTCTCCAGTAGGGAAAAGGAAAAAAAAAAAAAGGAGAGGGCTGTGGATCAGAGACAGCAAAAGTGGTTCTTGTGCTAGAAATTTTAAATGTAGAACTGGACAACAGTTCCTGCTGGAAATTTGAAGATGAAACAAAGCAAATCGACAGCATTTGACATCTAACCCCATCCCTGCCTTCCAGAGCCAGTGACCAACTGCCAGGCAAAAATGCTCGTGGGCTCCCAAGGGCCACCCCAGACACTGCCCAGGTGCAGGTACAACACACAGCCAAGGCTGGCAAGAGACTTTTGAAAAGGGCACAAACTGAGCAAACCAAGTGCTGTGAACGTGCCAGCAGTGTAGTCTGGTCAATCCAGGGCTAAAAGGAGGCTGTGCAGATGATCAGGCACAACAGTAGGGAATTATGAACTAATTTCAGAGAATGGTTATAGCCTGACTTAAACAGCCAAAGGTCTCTGTTCCAGACTCCTGGAAGGGAGTAAATGCCTCCTTGTTGGTGAGGAGCTGCTGGCTGGGACCAGCTCTGACTGCAACCTCTCAGAACTGAAATCCAGCAGCCTCAGCTATTCCAGTCATCAAATTACCTCAAGAGTCTGCCTAAAAGTTTCTTTTTGTCTTAGAATGTTCCAGTCCTGTGAAACCACCTGGTTCACAGATTCTTTGGTTACTGAAGTTCACAGCACTTGGTTTTGGTTTGTTTTCTAATTCATTTCAATAAAAGTGATGAAAAGAACAACAAACCCCACTGGTAAGTCCTGGGGGTGTGTGGGACACATTGCTGGGGCTCTGTGAGAAGGCTGAGCCATCACCTGCTCTCTCCAGCCCAGGCCATGGCAGTGAGTCTCTGCATTCCTGCCATTTCTCTTTGCTCTGGTTCCCACAATCTCATTCTCCTCATTTCAAACAGCACTCAAGAATTTTCTTCCAAAATATGAAGATATTTTCTTTCCTAATGCCAACCCCCCAAACTTGTTCTTACAATCACTTCATCTATTTTTTCACATTATAAAGTCTTTCTCCACATCGCTGAGTAATACAAATCACTGCTTTCTGACATTTTTGTCAACTGCTGAATACATTATTCATGAATACTTATTTATCACTGCTGAACCAGCTCTAGAAATAGTGAAACAATGTGCACTAAGTAGTTTTAGTGTGCCTTTTATTTTTATAAACCAAAATAATTGGGGAGTGTGTTACTTTTTCACTCCAATATGCTCTGTTCATTTTAGGGACAGTGTACTCTT